GTCACATCTCGTCTCTCGCTGTTTGCATTGGTTGCCTCACCATTTCCAAACTGACCGGCAAAACTAAGAAAGAGCTAGCTGGGTAAGACCTGCGACCGCAACACTCCGAATATTAATGAAGGAGTTCAGTCTTTTCTTCTTCCGTGAATTTTCTAGGTTATCATTTTCTTGATTCTATAAAACACATCCAGATCAAAAGTCATAGACCCGTGGTTTTGTTTAGGTGATTAATTATGGTATTTCGATCTGGAGCGAGGATGTTAATTTAGCATCATCGTTTAATATTATACTATACTTTTAAAAAAATGAAAAAAAACATTGTATTTACTGTGAATATAGATTTATTATATCATAAATTATATGGTAAACATATAGCGTTTATATTGTAACCAGTATTGTAGCATCATGAGAGTCATTATCTTTTATGTATTTAGTAAAAAATTACTGCTGGATGTGATCGGCAGCCAGATCCAATACCCAAGAAAAATCTTTTTAATGAATCGGCTATCTTTGACATATAATTGGCTCTAAAGAGAGTGTTTAGTAACGTTTTTAAAGTAATTTTTATTAGAAAATTTATTATTTATTTTATTTTTTAAAATTTATTTTTGATAACAATACATTAAAATAATTTAAAAATATAAAAAATAAAATTAATTTTAAGAATTTTTGTTCTTTTTTGTGAAATACCGGGCCGTATTCCCAATCAGTGCGTTGCATTTTTGTCATCCCGGCGTATTAATTCGGATCTTTTGAACAAGAAAAGCTCCAATCTGTTATCTCCACAAATCCCAAATCCACTTCTACCATTTCTCCAACCCAAACATTAATCTACAAAATCAAGCTAATTATCACCATCTTCGCATTTCGTTTTTCTTCATTTGATCATCTTCAAACTCCAGCAGATTTATCATGGTTGATTTCAATTATGAATCAGAGGTTTCTAATGCGATCCCGCTCACCAGCCAGGCTGTTGAAGGCCCTTTCGTTGATGTCGCCCAACGTCATGCCCTAAGCCTTGCCACAGGCTATTAAAAGCATTGCCACTCTTGAAGGAGATGGAGAGGTTTCTTCATTTTTCTTTTCATGGAATGAGTTTTTAGATGATTTTTGTAATTTAAGGTAAGCTTCTTTGCACTTCCATTTCACTATTTATTTACTTCACTAATTCATTTTCCACTTCCTAAATGGCTGCAAGTTGACTTGGATAAAAGGATGGTTGGTGCCATGGTTCTTACCACTTTGCAATCTGCACGAGAAAATGGGCGTCGCAGAAGCCAGTGATTGGCATTTCTCTGTGGTTTGGTTGCTGGTATTGCTGCAAAAACTCTATTGAATATCTTGCACATGGTTTTCAGTTTTCAATACAAAATAAATAGTGTCACCTTTTTTATTATTATTAATGTTGGTGTTCGACTAACTTATATGTATTTTAATTAATTTTATAAAATTTAAAATTAATAATTATATAAATTTTTAATAATTTTAAAATAATTCAAACTTGTAATTATTAAAAAAAAATTGAAATTCTATCTAGTTAAGCTATCATCAAAATTAAAATAATGTCACTCTTTAAGTTATATTAATTGCAAGAATGTCCAGTTATAGTTAATGTTTTGTTTATTTTTGTATTTTAAATTTTTTTATAAAAATTTAATTTTTTTAATTATTTTAATACGTTGATATTAAAAATAATTTTTAAAAATTAAAAAAATATTATTTAAATTTATTTAAATAAAAAATACTTTTAAAAATAATCATAATAACATTTTCAAACACCCTATTATTGAAAGAGAGTATTTGAATTGCCAAACAGACTGTGAAAAAAAGATATAAATGGATTATTAATTAAATTAATCACGAG